TGCTCTGAACTTGATTTGAAAATCTGAGAAGACATCCTCTCATGGAGATTAAAACTGAACCCAGAGTATAGCACTCAAGCTTCTCTGTAATGTCCTATTTTAACTAATATTTCCCTTTTCTGCACTGTTATGTATTAGCCTCCACTGTATACATACTGAACTGATAACAGTATTCTTAAATGGCCATGATTTCTATATAGTTGCTCTTGTTCTCCTTTTCTTCCATTCATTGTCAGAAGAATCCTCCTTCTGTCCCTTTTGCTTCTGGGTTCATCTGAAATGCCTCCACCAACCTGAAGCTTTGTCTAATTTTCCTCACATTGTAGCGACGGCATCTTCTGTGGCCCTAGAACACTACACCTTTGTATAATACTTAGGCTATTCCTCTTGTTATTATGTGATGTATGGGTCTTATTCATATACTACATGTAAACAACCTTATGACAAGACCTACATTTTTATGTTTCCCCAAATTATCAATCATCTTGTTCCATAAGCTATACCATATTATTTGCTAGACCCACTTAAATGGGTTCTTCCATGATATTTAAAACATTTCAATTAAAAAATACTGTTTTTCTATTTGAACACATTTAAAACAAACTCCTAGGATGTGGCAAATATTTCCTAAAAAATCTTTAAATATTTCATATTGCCTCCAGCATAAGTACTGTGCCCAATCAACAACAATGACAAAGTTCTCTACATGTAAGTATCACTTACTAACTCTACAAATTAATTTTTAACTAACCTGTGTCTAAACTGCCACTTCATTTCCATGCCCAGCAAATAGTCAACCTTTGCAGAGCACTGTGTGAAAGAACTCTGTCATGGTGTCTGAGAAACGGATTTCAGCAGTTCTGCTGCTGCAGCTCTGCTGCGCTGGCTATGGGTTCTGTGGGAAGGTCCTGGTGTGGCCCTGTGACATGAGCCACTGGCTCAATGTAAAGATTATTCTGGAGGAGCTCACAGAAAGGGGTCATGAGGTGACTGTGCTGGTTTCTCCAAACTCTTTTATCATTGACTACAACACACCTTCCTCATTGAACTTTGAGGTGGTCCCTGAGCCTCATGACAGAGAGACTGCTGCAAACACACTAAATGGCTTTTTAGACCTAGCTACTAACGTCATGCCAACATTGTCGCGCTGGCAGGCAGCAAGAAAACTGCAAGAATTTCTTCTTCAAGTAACTGGAAATTTAAAACTTCTGTGTGAGAGCGTAGTCTACAATCAGACACTCATGAAGAAGCTTCAAGAAACCAACTACGATGTAATGATTATAGACCCTGTGATGCCCTGTGGAGAGCTGATTGCTGAGTTGCTAGAAGTCCCTTTTGTGTACACACTGAGGTTCTTTTTGGGTAGCACTATGGAGAAATACTGTGGGAAACTTCCATCTCCGCCTTCTTATGTGCCTGTTGCCATGGGGGGATTACCAGACAGAATGACCTTCTTGGAAAGGGTAAAAAACTTAATGCTTTCCATTTTCTTTGACTTCTGGCTCCAACAATATGACATTCAGCTTTGGGACCAGTTTTACAGTGAAGCATTAGGTAAGAAATTCTGCTTTTCATTCCAAAGTAGTTACTAAAACAAACCTAGGAAGTTTAAGAAAGGTCTAGGAAAATGAAAGAAATGTATTTTAAAACTTTCATGTTCACATAAATCTCTACAAATGATAGCAATAAACTGTTATCAATATTAATTGGGGAGGGGAAGCAAGAAACATCTTGCCATGGTTATTCTGTCTTTTCAGTTACCTATTTTGTAAAATACCTTGATACTTAGTAGATTGTTATTAAAACAAAACAAAATATAAAACACACTAATACTAATAAATGTCAATCCAATGGAAGTTGTATTTTTTGTCAGATGTAGGATATCACAAATAAGAATATACACTGAGTTCTCATAGTGGAGGAGTTTGACTTCTTACTGGTAAAAAGACTGTAATGTTCATTGTAAGTATAAGATGTACTCCTTGACTGATTCCAGTAGTAAACTGAAACCTGAGCTATATTAACACTGAGATTAAATTTGGAATGTCATTTACTTTGCCTGAATTTTGCTCCACAAATTTTGAGAATTAAGGATTATTGCATTCAAAAGTTATACTACGTTCCTGTTGGATTAGAGTACTTACCATTCTAGTCTCTCAAAAATTTATGATGAAACCTCAGTAAGTCTTGTGTGAACTGTTTCATAATGGCTGGTCATACTGGAAAGTTTCCTAGGATGCTTTATACTTCTTCAGGGAGTATTGTACAGAAACCTGAACAATTAAATAGAAAACTCTAAAAGAGTTTATAGCTTGAGGTGTTGAAAGATAGCATATTTTTTACTTCATTAATTACATATATTCTATCTACTTTTAATTGCTTGTCCTTCCTAACAAAGAATGGTTTTGCTTTGCAATTTTCACATATATTGCTCTCATCTGATTCCATCAACTGAGGCTGGCTTCCATTTCAACAATTTCTGAGAATTGTTTAGGAACATGAACTAAGAAACAAAAGATCAAATTGGGTACTAGAAATAGTAACTAATTTAACTCCCTGATTATACTAGTGTTCTAGGGCTGCCATAACTAAATACCATAAATTAGGTAGCACAAATTATATCATATATATATATATATATATATATATATATATATATATATATATATATATATATATATATATATATATATAATCACATGCTCAGTAAACAATGCTAAAGTGCTTAGTCCATCCAGTAAATAGAAAATACAATAGTTACAGTTCTCTATTTGTCAGTAGAAAGGACTCTAAAGGTGGATCTTGAACTCAGAATGATTAGTCAATTTTCGAGGACAGCCTCATAATCAGTTACTCTGGCTAACTGCTGTTCATTGGGGATTGTTAAAGAAAACATTCAGGGCACCTGCAACTGTTTTTTTTTGGGCATAGCATTCTTGTGGTAGGTCAGTTTGCCATTCTTGTTCTAATATAAAATATTAATTTTTAAACAGTGATTCAGTAATTGTACATACAGAGGATGCCAAAAAAATGTATACATTTAAAAAAAGGAAAACTGTATTAAAATTATAATACTTAATATATACTGATAAAAAAAGATGAATACAAGTCACGTTTGACTTCTTGTTATAAGAGGTCCTCAAAGTGGTTGCCATCAGTGTCCAGACACTTCTGATTACGGCGAACTACTGCCTGAGCAACGTTGACCCAAGTGTCCACTTGTATACATTTTTTTTGGCACCTCCAGTATTAGTTTTCTCTCATGCCTTTGGAAAGAATAATTTTGGGAGCCTAGAAATGTTGTCTCTATATTAACCCAGCTAAAACGACTTACCTTTGAGAAATTGATAACTCTCTGCCACTGAATTTCCCACCTGTCTATCTCAAATACATTTTAAGGCATTTTGCCAAAAATTCAGGCTTACCTCTAAGAATTCTTTAAAACTAAAAGCCCTCTCAGTAGACTCATCATGTAGGATTAATATAATAGATTCAAACAATAAAAATTTTGACATGGTAACTCAAATTTATTAGCCAATTTATTAATTATATATTGTTTACATCATTCTCCACTGTGTTCATAACTCTCTTTGTATAATAACATAATTATGGGGAAAAGATTGGTGGTAAATTTTATGTGCATATTTTTTGTTCATAATTTCTCAGTATGACATTTAAACTGTCTTATGAAATTATTTAGCAACTTTTGCATACTTTTGCTCAATTTCATTCTCTTCACTTTTGATTGGCTTTATATTTTATACTGTGCATCACTGCTTCAAATATAAAATTTTCGTGAATACTTTCAGCTAGGTCTTTCTTAAAATGCTGTCTACAGTTTATGTACAACAATTTCACTAGGGAGTTGGTAATGAAGGCAGGCTATCACACACATGCAACAAGACATCTAAAGGATATAAACGTTGGTGTGGAAGCTGTGAAGTGGTGTTCTCATCCAATCTCTGGCAATTTCAAGATGAGAATCTTTGTGAAATGCTTCTTTATTACTAAATTAAGGCATTTGGCTATATAACCTCAGACAAATATTCAAACACTACAAAATAATGAGTAAAATGAGCTACCTAACCTGAGGTGTATATGATCACCAATATTGATTAGAATCCTTACAAAAAGAGGGTTGTCATCTAGGTGTTTCTTTACTTAGATGCAAAACATTTTCTTCTGAGTGTAAAAATGGTTGACTTGGTCATTTGCAAATATTTGTTCTTCTCCACAAATCTCCTAAAATTAATACTTGGAATCTTTCCCTTTCAAAAAACATAATTTAAAGGCAACACTACAATAAGTGTATGATATTGGTAATGTGGAATGTGTATTTCACCTTCCAAAGAGGGTTGTACTGGGTATAAATTACTCAGGGAATTCCTACTGAGAAAATGATGGCAAATGAATTGAAGTGATTGGATTTAACCCAGGAAGAGAAGATAAACTGATATTGGTGGGATTCTTCAACAATATGAGTGAACCAGAAACCATAACAACCTGAAAGGTAGATATATATTCCTGACTGGAAATTAGAAAACTATTGAAAGGTGATTTGGTGCTGATATGATGGGGCTAATCTATCATCTGCCATTTAATTGGAGGGAAACCATCAGTATTTGGAGTTCTGGTTAATTTTTTTTATTGAATTTGTTTTTGTGAATTTATTTTTATTCATTTTTATTTGATTTTGTAGAATTTGTTTTATTGAATGTAGTTTTATTTTACACATTACTGTTCTCACTAACCAAATATCCTCTTCCTCTCTCTTTCCCACATCCCTTCCTTCCTCTTTTCCTCCCTTCCCTTTTTCCTTCCCTCCCTCCCTTCTTCCTCCCTTACTACTTTTAATTCCCCTTCCTTTAAATATATAGATATAATAAATAAAAGATCTAGTTTTTTTTTCTTAATGAAACATCAGAAAATTAGTGATATTTTTTTCCCCTAACAAACATATATGGTAATAACTTCCACTCAACTTTCTTTATTTTCTCCAGGAAGACCCACCACATTATGTGAGACTATGGGCAAAGCAGAAATTTGGCTAATGAGGACGTATTGGGATTTTGAATTTCCTCGTCCATACTTACCTAATTTTGAGTTTGTAGGAGGATTGCATTGTAAACCTGCCAAACCACTACCTAAGGTAGGTCTTTTATAGAGAAGGATTTTTGTACCTTATGATAAAAATTCTGATTTTCCTTTAAAGTTCGTATCCTAAATAACAGATGTATGCTGCTGGATAGTTTCAGTTTGCTACTCCAAATCAATTTTCCAAGTCATATGAGTCTCTTATGAATGATATTACTTCTTTTTTTCTGGACTGCACTTTGATGTTTAAGCTGAAGAATGAAGTGATTTCAGGAGCATGTTAAAATAGTGTGTCTACAGTGTGGGTACTAAATTGAAGAGACAGAAAACTAGAGCTTTGGAAATCACTAGGGAGACTGCTATAGTTATCCTAACAATCATGATGGAGTTATGAATAGGAACACTTGTTATAATTGAGTGACAAAGAGGCTTTCATGAGAACTCTTGGGTAGATTCCATAGGACTTGGTCATTAAGAAAAAGTAAGTGATGTCAGAAGACATGAAATCAGATATGGCTTCCTGGATAGCAGTTAACTGCTAATGAAATAAGAAACAATTAGTGAAACACTTCTTTGAAATGACAATTACCAGTTCAATTTTAAATTTACTGTAAGGAGCCAAAGGAATTTTCAGGTAGAGATTTCTAGAAATAACCTGGGTAATACAAGGTCTCTATCTCAGCAGAGAGCATTAGAAATAGATTGGGAGGGCCGGCCAAGTGGCTCAGTTGGTTAAGAGCTCGCTCAAGAGTGCGAGCTCTGAGTAACAGGGTTGCCAGTTCGATTCACGGCCTGAGCTGAGTTGCCACTGAGCTGCCAACCGACGGCAGGATGGCTCAGCTAAAAAAAAAAATGAAATAGATTGGGGGTCATTAACATAAAGTAGAAGTCATAGAACTGAGAGACCCAAGTGTTCAATTGGTTCTTTATGACCACAACATCAGGTTTTCTGGAAATAAAAAAGAAAACTGTAGGGCCAGCCGAGTGGCGCTATGGTTAAGAACTGGCTTGGGATGCCAGAGGGCCCCGGTTCGGATCCCACATATGAGGGCCAGTGACACTGCCCTCTACAGCTAAGATGCTGAACAACAGCTCAACCTGGAGCTGGGCTGCCATGAGTCCCCGGCCACGGCGACGGCGTAGGCTGCAGCCCCTGCTGCAGTGGGTTGCCATGGGCTACCATGTGTAGCCAGCAGCCAGCGTGAGTGGCCAGCAGCCGCAGTGAGCGACCGTCCAGAAGCTGGCAACTGATCTGCCTCTCCCAGGAAGAATGCAATGATGGTGCCAACTTGGGCCAGAGAAGCAACGTCCTCCACAAGTAGACTGAAGAACAAAAGGACAGCAACTTGTCTGTTCCCCTTCCCCAATTCCCCAGCGCTGTTCCATCCCCCCAATTCCCCAATAAAAATCTTAAAAAAAAAAAGGAAAACTGTATAACACGTTCCAAAGTTATCAAAGTATAAATGTGGATGAAATGTTGGAAGAAAACAATATTAAGAAGCAAAAGAAAATAATAGGTAAAAACAGTAATAATATTATATTTAACTATCTTTTTCAATAGGGAATGAGGAGATAGATACTCATTTGCTTGAATTGTAAGTAAACAAAAATAATCTCTGTAGAAGATTGCAAGTTAAATGGGTTCCCAGGAGAGTTCTTAACTTCTGTTTAGTGTAAGATGCATATTTAAGTTTCAAATTTCGTTTCAGGACTCTGAATATGCTTTTCTTATCAGCCAACTTATATCTGCAGGCACACTCTAGAGTATTATTACAGGAGATAATGAACCAATATCTAAATAAGGTACAGTAAAAGATATGACATATTCCACGGCTCTCTATATAATACCCGTCATGTTATTATGTTTATCCTCCCACTCCCACTTTCACACATACACTATTTCACAAAAACAACTCAGACATGTTTTACAAGAGGGGGGATTTTTTCCATTTCCCACCCAATTACTAATATAGGTATTTGGGCAATATGAATACCAATCATGGCTTATACCTCATATGAAAGAATTATGCCAGTCACTGAATACACAGAATAAAAAAAGCAACAAGAGGCAGTCAAATAAAGAATCTAAATCAAACAGGTAGATGTGTATGTTTTAGTGTGCATGTGTATGTATACTGCACATGATTTTTTATTCAATCATTATTTATTTAGGGAGATCAATCAAAATAGTAAAACACCAAATCTTGGGACTTTAGAGATATTTCCTTAACATTAACTAAACTAAAAATTGTAGTCTACTTTCATTAATGTCATCATCTTTCCCTTAGTAATTTTACCAGCCTTAAATTGAAAAACATCAATGAATGCAGGGCAACCACAAATAGTTACAAAGGGAATGCATGATACATCTCTAGAGAGTGATATTTACATAGATTATGAGGTCAAAGTCCCCAATCCCAGACTTTACAGTGCTCAGCTTGCTGTAAGTAATGAACAAGAGAATTTTATTTTGCAGATAAATTTATATTTTACTTCTGTGCTAAGGCTCAAATTAATGGTATGTATTTAGTGTCCCACTCTTGTGGGAAGACAGAGAATCACTGTCTCATAAATGTTATGATTATAGCAAGAGCTTAACTGTGCTGTCACCTTTTAAAGATATTACTATATATCCCATTAAAAAGTCACTTTTAGCCCTATGAATCAGGGAACAAATAAATATTAAAAAAAACCTAAATACCTAAGAAAGTTAGATCAATTTATTAATAATTTATTGGCTGTAAACTGGCATGCTAAAAAATGTTAAAGCCTATTTCAAAACCCTTTTTAGGGCTTTCCTCCAAGGAATATTTTTATGAGTTTGCAAACAAGTCTTTTGGTTCATAAATTAAGCTTTCAGAATAATAGTTCCATATACCATGAGAAAATCTGCCTCTTATCATCTAATCATTAGATATAATGGTTTGACTCCATGCCTTTATTTGTAATCACTCATTATATATTTAAGCCACAGTTTTCAGAAACATATTTTCTCTTCAGGGGACTAGAAGATTCTATGTGGTAGAAGACAGAACCAGTCTAACAATGTCTCTGACACTTCTCTTGACTCTGCCTATTTAGAAGTGTAGTGAACTTTTCCCCCTGTGATTCTATATTTTTTTAATAGAAATAATTTTATCACTGCAGGAAATGGAAGAATTTGTCCAAAGTTCAGGTGAATATGGCATTGTGGTGTTTTCTCTGGGGTCAATGGTCAAAAACCTCACAGAAGAAAAAGCCAATCTCATTGCCTCAGCGCTCGCCCAGATTCCACAGAAGGTCAGTACAACCTCCGATGTTAGTAAGCAGTTACTCTGCCAACTGGAGACAGAGTGTGGCTAATAGTACTCTTTCCAGATGAAAGCTGAAACTCATTACACATGGAGCATAACTGGCACCAACTTTAAGTAAAATTTCTCAAAACATTAAAATGTTGTATTTGGGCACATTTAATTATTTGCCTATCTAGTCTTTGCTTTACTATGAAAATGCATCTTTTAATGAAGTCAATTATTTTCAAGGAAATGGAGATAAAAATGTTAAGATCCTAATAACTTCATTTGAAATCTTATGGCCTGCACTGACTACTCCCTCAAGTTCTCCAATGTGTTAGCCCCGAGGTCCAGGAAAAGAGAGAGATTATACGCAGAGAGGACGCATGCTCAAGAATGTACTTCATATCTCTAGGTTTTATTAGGACTCTATCAAAGTGTATTTTGTTTAGAAGTAAAAGCCTAATCTTTCTAAATTGTATTTTCTACAGTTAAAAACAATTAAAAATCCTCATATTATTTCAAACAATATATATTTATAATTTATGATACTCAGTTAACTTCATTTTTTTTTTATCATTACAACTTTAGATTTCTACTCTCTATAAACTCTGATATCCTAAAAAAATAAAAAGCCAAAGTGAGAGGCAACAATTGCTTGAGATCAAAAAAGAATTGTAATTCTACAAGCACTGATTCAGGCAGAAAACCCAAATAGTGTTCCAATTAGGTGGTGAAGGCAAGGAGTATTTATGAGAAAGGAAAGGGGCATAATTACACAAATAAAAGGAAGATATTTCTGTTGGCGTTAATAAGCCAAGGAAGGAAATTCGACAGGTGCAAATAGGACTAAGTGATTCTTTAGCTATACATGGTGGTGCTAATTCTAAAGAATGTCTGTAATTCTCAGTCCAATAGTCAGGATGTCTGCTTCCTGTTAACTCTGCAAACAGTTGTTTGGAATACAATGTTGCATTTGGTCCAATCTAATGGTTATTTTGCCCACTTCCAACCTTCAAAATGTTTGAAGAGTAAGATGTTCAAGATAATTCCTCTGGAATGGCAGCTTTGACTCCATTTTGAAGTGGCTCCATTTATATTTGTCACAACTCTTATTCATGAAATATCCAAGGACTCTATATTTGTATATTAGTTAAAGTATATAAAACTCTTTAACAGTAAGTATACTATTGATCCAATTAAAACTTTGGATTTTTATTTCTAAAACTCTATTTTCATTTCTAAAAAAACTTTTTTGTCAAAGAGTTTGCCACATATTAGTATATAGTCTGGAATTTGTCCCTCAAAAGAAAAAAAAAGTATGTAATAAAAGGTCAACGTCCTAACATTATTATTGTAATATCCTAACATCCATTAAATAATAGAATATAAGTAAACCTCCTAACTCATTCTTCCTCCAAAACTAAAGAAAGATGAAAGAAAGAAAGAAAAAGGAAGGAAGGAAGGAAGGAAGGAAGGAAGGAAGGAAGGAAGGAAGGAAGGAAGGAAGGAAGAAAGAAAGAAAGAAAGAAAGAAAGAAAGAAAGAAAGAAAGAAAGAAAGAAAGAAAGAAAGGAAGGAAGGAAAGAAAGAAAGAAGAAAAAAAGGGAGGGAGAAAGAAAAGACAATCAATCATCCCAAAACCAGATAATACAAATCCAAAGCTAATTATATTTTTGGAAAAGCATTACATTTGAAACTTGACAGCTAGAATGGCCTCCTGACATAAATAAATTTATACAGTGTTGTTTGTTTTAATGCTTTTAAATTCCCAACCAACTCTGGTTGACTAAAGTAGTCCTATTTATTTTCTATTTCTTCACTTACAATCTCATTCCCCAAAGTTTTTAAGTGATAAACATAACTTCTAAGTGATAATACTATACTTAATAGACTATTAGTATAAGCCCATTCAAAAAAGGTAGATATCAGTAACCTGCTCTATCGCTCAATGTTTGCAAACTACCCCTTTTGCACATTTCTCCCAATTATCACATAAAGTAGGGTGGGCTACATGATTTTTATATAACCCTACAGCCTTAAAATTCCTTAAGGAGTGCACTTTCCCTTTTGACTGAAGACTGCATTTTCCCATCTGGAGCTGAGACACCAAAGACGAAACACCAAAGACATTGTGCAGGACCAGAGCAGAGAAGAGCAGGCAGAGCGGAGCAAGGCAGAGTGGAGTGGAGCAGGCAGGTACAGCAGAGCAGAGCAAAACAGAGCTGTCTAGCTAGAGAGGGGCCTCACTCCTGGGCTACCTAAGAGCCTTATTGTTTCACAGCCCTGCTGCTTCATAATTGAGCAGTAACACTACTGAGCTGTTCCACAGCTGTGGTGTTCTCACAGCCATGCCGTATCACAATTGAGCTATTTGCATTGAATAAAGCTGCCTTCTTCACCTCACCCCAAACTGAGGGTTCCTGTTGGCATTGAATTGGTGCTAACGCTCATCACTTGACACACTGAACTGCCAGCCTGCTCTGTTCCTACCATTTGAACTTTTTAAAAAGAATTCCTGTAATCACATTTCAACCAATAGGACGGAGACTTTCCCTGTCCAATTGGAGCTGCACAGCTATATTCTCAACCAATCAGAGCAGCTCTGCAGCCAATCAGGAAAGTGCCATTTAAACCAAACTGCAAGGATTTGGAGTCCTCATTTGTACAAGGAAAGGGCAACCAGGGACCAGAGACAGAGACTTCTCTATATGAGACAGCTCTCCTCTGGTGCAGAAAGTGCATTTCCCTTCTGCACTGAAGATGGAGGGCTGCATTTCCCCTGGCTGGAGCTGAAACACCAAAGACAGCTTTGGAGCCAAGCTGGAGCCCAGCTGTGTAGCCAGAGAGGGGCCTCACCCTAGGGCTGCCTTGCAGCCAGCAGCCATGCTTCCGTAATTGAGTTGTTTACACTGAATAAAGTTTCCTGCCTCAGTGAAAAAAGGAAAAAAATCCTTAATTGTGTGTTTTTACTTGTAAAATTAAAGCACTGTCTTCCACAGGTTTTATGGAGATACAAAGGAAAGAAACCAGCCACATTAGGAGCCAATACTCGGCTCTATGACTGGATACCCCAGAATGACCTTCTTGGTAAGACTGAAGAAAAAAAGCTGTATGATTGGATCATGGGCAAGTTGAGTGTTTAACAGCAAATAAATTCAATAAATATTTAATAATATAAAAATTTCACATTTTACTGCCAATTTTAAAGCAGATATAATCAAAGAATTGGTCATTGTTTATAAAGTTCTGCTTCCTCTGTTTCATGAAAGAGCATTTTCAGTTAGAACTTTGATCACTTTTCAAGATTCAATCTCAGTTCAGATATCACCTCCTCAGTAAAGTCTTTCCAGACAATGCAGAGGAGTTAATTCCATCTTTTACTGGGATCACAGTTTTCTAGAGAAAGCAATAACCCCTGTGCTCAGATTCTGTAGAAAATATAGACTTCATTGATTTTTCCTGTATTTTTCTCCATCTCTCTGAAATTCTGTTAAAATATTATAATGAAATCCTTACCAGCTTCTCACCCCTCCCCCTCCCCGCAAACTAGGTCACCCCAAAGCAAAAGCTTTTATCACTCATGGTGGAACCAATGGGATCTATGAAGCTATTTATCATGGAGTCCCTATGGTGGGAGTTCCCATGTTTGCTGATCAGCCTGATAACATTGCTCACATGAAGGCCAAAGGAGCGGCTGTGGAGGTGAACATAAACACAATGACCAGTGCAGATTTACTCAACGCCTTAAGAACAGTCATTAACGAACCTTCGTAAGTACTACTGCTTTGAAAGGTTTACCACTGATTATGTTCAATGTTTCATGTATTAGTAATTGGTACGCTTTCCAATAACAACCATACCATGACCAATATAAAAACTACTTTATTATTACATTTCCCAAACTGCTAGAGTGATTTGCTAAATAAACTGCAAAAAAAAGCCCTCAGATTTCAACCATCTATGAATATTTTTTTCAACATAAACAATGTAATGATTACATAAATTCTCAGATGTTTTTTCTGGATTATCTAATATATATATATATATTTGATCTCTTATATTTCCAATCTCTTCTTTTTTGAATTCTAAGTCTGTCATTCTTTCTTTTTCCCCCAATATTGTGTAAGTTTTTATCGACATGTTTTTCATCTTGCTCTCTCGGTATCTGTTCTGAATTTGTATAGGTGCCTTATATTTAAACTTGTTCCACGTTATCTCAGATGCTATTATTTTTATTCAGAGGCAAAAGTTGAAGGCTAGTTATAACATTCCATTCACATTAGTAAAAACTGAAGTTCAGGCAGTAGGTGAGACGGTAAACTCAGAATGAATTTTGAGCAGCTTTTTTTAGTGGAGCTATTTTGAGTAAAACTATCTGTTCAAAGCCCTAGAATCAGGGTTTTCTAGACAAAAGCGTCAATGAGATACTCAATATTTGCCTTAACTCCATGCTAAAACATCAGCCCTGGTTGTCCACTATTCCCTATCACTCACATTCCAATCAAACAGCTTTTATTAATATGCAAGTTTAAGTCATAATTTTCAGAATATTACAAATATCAATTCAGGAGCTGGGTATGGGGTTACGAGGTTCAGTAAAGCTTATTATAATCCTTTTTTAATTTTATTTTTATTAGTTTCAGGTGTACAGAATAACACAATGATTAGACATCTGTACACCTCACAAGGTGATAGCCCCAGCATGTCTACTACCCATTTGATACCATACATATATTGTGACCATTTTTTGCCCTCAAAAGTGATGGCCGTGACGTCTAACCTATTAGACAATTATCAGGTTGTAATTGCTCATAATTTGGTTCATTTTACTAAATATCAAAGTAGGTAAATTCTGTAATTTTTTAAAACTGTACTTAATTTTATAGAATGCTCATTAAATTTTATTGGTGATTTGAGAACTATTGATGTAAACAACAGAATAATAAATAACTTAGAATTTTCCAAGAAAATGCCTAAAATTATTTATTTTAAAATACCTTAATATTAACTCTAAAACTAATCATCTGAAATTATCTGGGAACAAGAGCATCTAGTTCAGATTGTAAATACACAATAATTTGTATCCCATTTTCCAATTACTTAAAGGAATTAAGGAACACAAAAAATTTCATTTAAATACATAAACCATAGTAATTTCAGTTATAATATTTTCAGATAACAGTCATAAAGCATTAGTGTGGTATAAATTATGAAATAATTTAAAATATGAGCATAGCTATTTCTTATCCTCTCTCATTTATAAGAAAGAATATTTTTATTTAGATTCACATGTAAAGTTTATCTTTCAAGTATATGCGTATTTCAAATATGAAATCTCTATAAATGGTGAAAACCTTCAACAAAATTTTAATTTGGAGAGATAAACTTTTACCACCACTGTAGGTTGCCTTAAATGTATTAGAAAGAATCATGTGAAATTACTGTTTTGACCCTATCTATATTTTTATCCAACTAAAAGAGTATATGATTATTCTTTCTCATTGTGCACAAAAAAGAACACAGTACCCCTTGCTGCTGGATCTGTGCCACATTCACTGGTGAATGATGACCACATTTATCCTCCCCCTATCCCAACAATGTCTTGCTCACACTAGGACATCTCATCAAAAGCCACTTTCTTTCTGATATCTACATGTCTCCAGGTTAGAAATTTTATTTCTATTAAAAATAAACAAAAAGAAACATACTATTTCTGTCTCAGCCACCAAGAAATGTCCAGTGAAGACATAGCTTACCTTTCAAATACATACCTTATACCCATTGTTGTTTGAGAGGCCCTTTGAGATGTTAATGCTATAGCTATGACTATTGTGATGCCACAATAGTTAGAGGCTCAAATTCTAGTGAGATATTTCTATCTACCTTCAAAACCCAAATTCCATCTCCTTACCATTTCTAAAAGTTCCCTAGCCCCCTCATTTAATTTTGACATTGCTAATACAGACACTGTCCTTTGTATAATAAACACACAGTGTGTACAATGGAGGAATCTCAGACACTGAAAAAATGACTCATCAATGTTGACCACCAATTTCCTGCATCTGTCATTATTAACTAGTCAGACATGAGGGTCCATGCTTATGGACTTTGTAATGGCTATTTTCCCACAATATGGGTTAGCCACTGTCTTGGTATTAGGACAATTCTTGAAATCATACTTCAAACAATATTAAAATCCTTCTTGAAAAAATTAGGCTTATTGCTTTTTTATATGTTTACACTTGACTACATTCTGTTAAAAACATATTTTTTACATACTATCCCTTTTACAACTCTTAAAAAGCTATGCAACCAGCAAAGTTCCTGTCACAGCAAGAATTAAATGTTTCCTCAACACATCCATGACATTTGGCTGGCATAACATATAATATGTTATACAAAGGTATTACATACTTAAACTTTAATATAAACAAAACCACTAATTTCTGTCTATGTTCTTGTCTAACAGCTATAAAGAGAATGCTATGAGGTTATCAAGGATTCACCATGATCAACCTGTGAAGCCCCTGGATCGAGCAGTCTTCTGGATCGAGTTTGTCATGCGCCACAAAGGAGCGAAACACCTGCGGCCAGCTGCTCACAACCTCACCTGGTTTCAGTACCACTCTTTGGATGTGATTGGATTCCTGCTGGCCTGTGTGGCAACTGCTATATTTTTGGTCACAAAATGTTGTTTATTTTCTTGTCAAAAATTTGGTAAAACAGGAAAGAAAAAAAAGAGGGACTAGCTCTTTCTAAGTGTGGTCAAGGCCTGAATGGGCAATCCTGTTTAGTTAAACCACAGTGACCGTAATGAAAACACATAATCTTCATCCTGTTTTCAAAATTCCCATTCTTCTACCTTAGCCTACAGATAAAGCCTAGAATTCAACAACACCATTAACTAGTGAGCATGTCCTATTCTTTCTTTGTCTTTTCCCGGGTGGCTTTACCCTGTTTCTTCCACTTTTCTGACACAGGGACATTATGTATAATATCAAAATTTTCTTTATGTTTAACCTGAAGTTTCTTTATGCTGGCAATATGCTAAATTCTGGGGAGCACACAAAATGTGAGCTGAATTTGATGGATGTAAGGAACATGGAAGAATGAAATTTACAAGTTCCCCTAGAACATACAGATGAGGGAAACATCACAGAAGATTAGCATATTTTAAGAATAGTATTGATTTCTTTCTGAATAAAAATAAGCTCTTCTACTTGCCCAGTGTTACTGGGGTCAGAGCATGCATTGATAATTACTGTGATGGCACATCACACTAGGAATAATACACACTTCCATTAAACAAGTAGATAATCATGACTTAAGTTCTACCTTTAGTCAACAAGTATTCTAGGGTGCCCTTTCAAGTAGGGGTCTGGGTACTTCAAACAAAAAAAGAGCATTCAAACAAAAAAAAATCAATTGAGTCATTATTTTTTATCAAGGACAGAGAATGTAGCAACAAGTTAAAGGTGAACAGATCATTTTTAGGAGAAATAATAAGAAATATTAATAAAAAAACTTTTAGTAATTTTATTAAATTTTTAATTAATAGTACAATTAATAACTTTAAAGTTAAATGTCAATTCATTATATTTAAAATCACTAATGTTCATAATCTATTATCACTATTTATAATCAAAGGTTTAGTTTTCAGTCAAAACAAATATTTACTTGGACTATAAGAACATTATATTATTTTTTAGGCTCTACCTTCTACAAATTTAAATTCATCAATTAATTGTTATGCAATAAGAGAATAGCAGACCTCCTTGACCAAAAATATGTTATAGTAAATATTTATCAATGCAAAAACAAAAACAAAAACAAAAACAAAACCTAAAGGCAAATGTTCACATTTGAATCAGTTTTGTATTAATTTAACTAATAAAGACTGAACTTTCTTTTTTTTAAAGATTTTATTGGGGAATTGGGGGAGGGGAACAGTGTTGGAGAATTGGGGAAGGGGAACAGCCAAGCTGTTCTTCATTCTTCATTGTGGAGGGCACCAGTCGCCATCTGGCTTCCCTTCAGCAGCTCATGGCCTCTAAAGCTCAAGGTTCTGTGTTCAATCTTAGTTGCAGGTGGGCATAGCCGACCATCGAACAGGCAATCTTGTTGTTACACCAGATGAGCCATCCTGCCACCTGTTGGCAGCTGAGTGACAGCTCAGCTTAGGCTCAGCATCACTGGCCCATGTGGGGATCGAACCGGTGGACCTGTTGCTCAGAGCTCGCGCTCTTAAGCCAACTCTTAACCAACTGAGCCACTCGGTCAGCCCCAGACTGAACTTTCATCATCCTTTATAAACTTAATGACATGTCTAAAGATTTAATTTCAGTATTTGATATATGATTGAGGAGATAACTGATATCCACTGGCTTACTGATTTTTGAAATTCTTATTAATTTCAATATAGTATGTTAAAAGTTACTTCCAATTTAAAAATAACTGTATCATGGAACATATTAAGTATTTCTTCTTGAATATGTCCATTATTGAAAATGCAAATAAATTCTACAAAATTTTTTGTGAAGGCTGAATATGTATTTGTTATATGTGATTTTTAAAGAGTGACTCATATTGATGTATTTTTTACTTTTACAATTTCATTGTATTTGGAGAAGAACTGTTTATGTTTGCTCTAAGCCCAGTTTATTTTCTGCAATTAGAATTTAGTGAATGGCTATGATCCAATGAGAGGTGAGCTGGCCATCTGTAGCACTACTGAGCACTACCCAATTTCAGGCATCCATTTGATTTCTAGTACTGGCCACCATTGCATAGAAGACGCTTCTGCTCAATATCCACTGCTCACCTGATATTTCCCTCCTGCTCTCTAATTATCTGCATAGCTCTTCCTTTGCCTGAATATCATCAGAAACCAGCTGGCAAAACTTCCTGGGTAATAGCAACTGCATTAGTTAGTATAACTGCAGCATATACTTGGATTAAAAAACAAAAAGTATGATAATGAACTTTCTCTACCAGTCATTCATACAATTGTTCAAATCAGGAAATTCTCATCACTAACACAGCAGAAGCCAAGTCCCACCAACCAGAATACTTTGCACAAGTCTTACATTCTCAGAACTTAGAGATGTTCAGGAGGCTAAACTTCATACTTTTATTTTGTACATATACTTTCCATGTGCCCCTTCTCTCTGGTCAGGGTTATTTACCTAACAAGACGATCCAAATTTTCATGCACTCAAAATCAGTGTGGTAATATATCCTATCTGAATGATTCATCACAGCTTTCCATTGAACTTTACTATGGGACATCAGAGTTTTAAGATGGGCTCTAGTAACCTGCTTGATATTAGACATTATTTTGCCTACAATTACCCTGTGTCAGCAACCTAGTTATTGTGGTATTTTGATTCATCACCACAGCCAGGAGAGTAACACTTTCTCCTACTGAATTCTAAAGCACAGGAGCTTAAAATAATCAAGGAGCACTCAGAGCTTTCAATCTAAGTAAACCTCAAAACTGCCTGACTCTAAGTTACAATAATGAAAAAAAAACGAAAAGCTGCTTGTTAGGGGATGCATTCTCACTTTCAATCCCTTGAACTCTGAACCTATGTATTCAAACTAAATACATAAGGCATTGCATAGCAGGCCACGATTTCAGCATAGACTCCATCTTTTAAGACACCACCTAAAACATAGGGTATAATCTCAGCTAAACCCTGAAAAGCTTTCATATATAATAGGAAACTTGGTAAAATCAGAAAATTGCATCCATATTAGACTTTGTTGCATTTCCATAGCTATAAATATGTTTCCTAGTCGTATACAACGCTGACATCAATACCATGATTTTTACTGAAACTTCATGCCCATGGTCTGTGATGTTGGCAAAAATACTACAGAGAGCAGAGGTTGGGAGGGTATTTTGTATTTAGAAATTATAACTACTTCTATGGAGAAAATGGATGCATCCTCTAGGATGGAAGGTGACCAATGCAATCTTCTACCCTCTGTGTGGCTAGAACCCTAGGGAATGGTGTCACATTGAGAACGAGGTGGAAAAATACCTTCTATTAACAAACAAAGCATATAAACACCTAAAGTAGCCTGATGAGGCTTGGTGAGATGAATTCCATGCTGTGCATTCATGTATGGTTTCCATCCCATTCTCCATTGCTCCTCTGCACGTGAGTTTTATGATCAAATTCTGGAAGGTCTGGAAAAAGACAGTGGCATACACAGGGCTGCTCATCCAGAACACCTTATTATTGAGGTATTTGTCTACAATACTTGATTTCTGGAGGAATTCCCAGTGGATTATGAAAACCTTCATAATCTATGCAAATCACAAAAAAGTTTATCCACATAATTCTACCACAGATCTGCTTGCCTTTAATCTTCCCTGTAAATCTTCCCAAGTCTTTGACCAATCAATTAATCCATTAGTCACTGTTCATGAGTCTGTAGATCTGTAAAGCAGGCCATTCTCTTTATAATTCAATGCTTGTTTTATAGATTTTAAGATTTTAGTAGCTTCACTTATATAAAATTATATAACTTCCCATTGAATGAAACATTTTGTTAACATTTTTCATTTTCATTTTTATTTTTGGTAATACTTTTTGAGTTAAAATCAATTATTTCTAATATCAATATATTGTAACAATATCTACATTCATTCCTCAAATGTATATATGACATTTTTCATATATTTACTTTAAACGCTTTTATGTTTCAATGATTTATATGTTTTCTTTTTAGTTAGGCTATAACTAGACTTTTATAAATTAACTGTATAGGTATTTTCTAAACACAAAATTCTCATCTGCTTTTGTTTATTTGGAAACCACTGTATTTCATTTTTTGTGTCTCTCATGAATTTTCTGTGTTTCTGATTATCTTTCCCCATTTTTCTTTTGTTCCATATAAATGATGAAGTGTTTTTTGTTTTGCTGTGCTTTTCCAATTTTTTCATCTACTTATTTGGAAGTTACACACTGTAGTAACATTTAGGCATGCCTCTTTTAACCAGTACATAACTGAATTTTTATAATCCAATATGTTTTACATCTTTTACTGGGGAATTTTATCCAGGTACATTTGCTAGGATAACTGATATATTTTATATTTATGATCATGTGATCAAGATATTGTACACAAGAACTCAGTAACATGGTCATACCTAAACAGCCTAGTAAAAGTTGTCTCTAGATATCCATCTATCAAATATAACTCATACCTGAAATATTGAAAATTGCTAACCGTTGAAGCACCCTCCCCTTTTTCCTCAAGTACAGTAAGGCATTTAGTATGTGCTAAGGCTATATCCAAAAATTCTTTGAAATTAAAACAATCTCATTGGAATTATTATGTGAGCTTAGAAAATGTAATTATTATATAAAAATTATGCACATGGTGTCTCTCAATGACTAAACTACCGATTATTAGTTTTATAGATGAAAACATTGTCTTTATAACTCAACTGTATGTTAATAATATAGCTAAAGGAAATGGTTATCAGTCACTTATAATTCACCCTTTTGATCCACAATTCCTCACATGTAACATTTCAAATAAACCTTATGTAATAATTACTTTTGTAAGCATTCATTCTCTTTTATTAGATATGTTCTATATTTATTATTGTGAGTCACTTCTAAGTACACAATTTTGGTAAACATTATATGATCACTCTTAAAATGTGGCCTCACCCACGGGTTTGGTAGTCAAGGCAGAATGTGAGGCGCGTACAACAAGGCAATATAAAGAATATAAACACATTTTATATCCTCTGTGAGATGGGGTTCTCATTAATCACTGAAATTTCATGCAAGTAGCCTCAGGAAAAATTTCTGTGTTGTCAAATCAAAAGCGTTGAACTGTATGACTTCAGACATACATAACTCTGAGTGCTAAAATGTGATGACTCTAAAAGGAGACTTTCCACCCTGGGGTGTATTTCACCACCAACTATGATTAGAACCCTAAAGAGAAAAGGATTCTCAACTGAGTTTTTCTCTTTAGTTCAGTTGAAAAGCACATTATTTTGCTCATATTAAATAGTTGATGTTTATTTGTAAAGGCTTAGTCCTAAAATTAATACCTAGCATGTGTTCCCCTTCAAACAATGTCAATTACAGGCAGCAGTAAAGTAAGCATGCAGCAGTTGTTGCATGTACACATGTCCCCTCGTCCCAAAAGGATGGTAGTCATGGGCGTGAAATACTAGAATTCTGGCTATGAATATAGTGGTCCACCAGGAGACATGATGAGATTAGACTTGGGAGGATGAGATGGAGTAATAGTCAAAATCCTTCAAGCATAGGAGTCAACCAGAGACTCTAACAAGATGAGAACAGGGATACATCACTGACTACAGTGGAAAATCACTGATAGTGGTTCGTTGCAAATATGGTGGGACTAATTTATCATTTTCAGTTTAATTGGGGGCAAATAAGCTTTTAATTCATCAATAGTCTGGATTTGGGCTTAAATTTTTGGTTGACTTTCTTGTAGTGAAAGTACAATAACATATAACTATACTTTCTCTACCTATTCTCCTCTCTATCTTACTCTATCTTCCATTCTCTCTTTCTTCCTCTTTTTCTCTTCTTTTCTCTCCTCCCTTCCTTCATTTCCTTCCTTCCTTCCTTCCTTCCTTCCTTCCTTCCTTCCTTCCTTCCTTCCTGCCTGCCTGCCTTCCTGCCTATTATTAATTAATGCCACTTTTCTATTTATGATTATAAACCATAATTATTCTAGAGGACCTAGCCTTACAAGTATTTTTCCTCAAATGCTGTATCAGTAAGAGGTGCAATTTTCCATTTAACTTATAGGTGAATTGGTTCCACTTAACCCTTCTTTGTTTCCTTTAGGAAAAACCACTACATTATGCAAGAGTTGGAGAAAGTGGAAATTTGACTAATCTGAACATACTGGAGTATAAAACTCCTTATCTACTTAGCTACTTTTTAGTTTATTGGAAAATTGTACTGCTAACCCACCACAATTTTACTTAAGGTAGGCCTATTACAGTAGAGTTTTTATATCCCTTATGATATGACACCTGATATCCCTTTAAAGAATATAGCCTCAATAACAGTGACATGCGACTGGACAACTTGGTTTGCAACTCCATTTTTCCACATAACAGAAGATCTTCTAAGTAATATTAGCTCATATGGAGGTATAACAGAATTTTAGCTGAAGAATGACATGAATGAACTGGCAACTTAAAATGCCAGTGAGATTAAAGCGTAGATAATGGATTGTAGGCATAGAAAAGTATAACCACACAGATCACTAGGGGGACTGCTTTAGTAATCCTGACAAGCATAATTGAGATCACAAATAAGCGTTCTTACAATTACGGTAGAGAGATAAAAATACTTTCACAACACATTTTGAGGTCAATTCAAAGGTTTGGTAAGTGAGAGAGGTTAAGTGTTCAGGGAAGAGAAGGAGTTAAGGTGGACTCCTGGATTCCTATCCAGTGTGTTTGTTTGGATATTGATGGCTTTTACTGAAATGGGAAACAATTGGAGGGGCAACTTTTTAAGGTAAATGCATGTATGTTGCATTCCCTTTTGGATTTATTCACTTCAAGGAGTCAAAGCAATAATTTATAGGTGGAGATATTTAGAAGTCATCTGGAATATAATCAATAATATTATAATAACTACATATGGTGTCAGATGGGTACTAGAATTATCAAGGTGATCACTTTGTAAGTTATATAAATATCTAATCAATATGTTGTACACTTGAAACTAATATAATATTGTACATGTTGTGTAATCAAAAAAAATTTTTTTTAAGCTGAGCCATCCTGCTACCTGTTGGCAGCTCAGCTGCTGCTCAGCTCGGGCTGGACTCGAACCGCTGTTGCTCAGAGCTCAAACTCATGAGCGAGCTCTTAACCAACTGAGCCACTCAGCCGGCCCTCACAGAAGAGTTTTTGATTTCTATTTAAGTCAAGATTCTGTCTATTCTTTTTACCCCCCAGTCAAGTTATAACTACATTCCAACCTCTATTGAGAGATACTATTACAGGAGATAATGAATCAATACTTATTAGACATACAGATTGAGATGTTTCTTGGCTCTCTAGATAATCTTCCATTCTATAATATCATGTACTCTTCTACTCCCACTTTTCACACCTAAACACACACACATGTGCATAGACACATACCATACAATGAACCGTAGTCCATCACAAAGTCATCTAAGTGATGCAAGATGGAAAAAATTGTTCTCTTCTCAAAAATTCATCTATTAATATAAAAGTTTCTGCAATGTGAGTACGTATCATGAGTTACAGCTCTCCTGAAAAAATCTGGGTATAGTAGGAGGTACAAACTGTTTATTGAGTGTGTTTATGCAAAAGTAATTACATTAATGTATACTAATTATTACCACAGTATAGACAGATGAGTAGAAGATGAATGATTAACCACTTCATATCTTGAAACTTTACCATCTGCCTAAATCTGAATATCCAAGGAGCATATAAATATTTTCATACAGTTGTCTTGATTAAAGCTGTCACTTCAGGGAAAAAAAATCTGATAGATCATATTGATTCCTGAACCTGCTGCTAATTTTGTGTATCATATTTTACCTAATGATACTATCGGACTTTTGGTCTTTCAGGTAGAAATCCTATTTCTTTACATCTTTGTACAAACTTTGTACACACCTTTACTCTTAAGCATCTTTTTCAATCTCAGATCTAATCACTAATCACAAGTTTTAACTGTATTCCTAACATTTACTATTTTCAGACCATGACTCAAACTTATGATTCCATGTTTAAGTTACTAAAATACATTTTTAATAATTTTCCCTTCTTTGAAACTCTTGCTTTTGTATGCCAACCTATACTTAGCCACAAGAATTGTTTGCTAAAGGAAATATTTGAGCTCTGTCTGCTTTCTTTAAAATTTGATTAAGTAAGTTTTGCCTATAATTTAAAATCCAAACCCATAGTATATCTATCAAGACTACCTAATGTCTGCTAGTTCAATCTAACTTTCTTCTATAAACTACCGCCCACATCTTTCTCTGTGATCCATACCCACTGGAATGTTTTCCAAATATCCATGAACTTTTCTCATTCCTTCATTCATTGTGAAATCTGTCATTTTGCCACATTCTGCCTAGATCCTACCAAGGCTTTCATCTTACCTCATATATTATCTACCTTACTAAAACTGTTCCCAATTATTCCATAGAAAACTAACTGCTTTTTCTTTGGAATTCTGAACATCACGTATTCAGATGACTTTTAACAAAAATTTCCCCGTAGGTAGCCATGTTTACTTAAGCAAATTATTTTGCTACTCTACATAGGGAAAACGATGTGGGGTATGTGTTCACCTAACCTCCTGGCACCTTTGAACACAGAGTAGAATGGGAGTTGGTTTGTGTGTGTGTGTGAGTGTGTGTGTGTGTGTGTGTGTGTGTGTGTGTGTGATGTGAACTTTAGGGGGTTCTTGTTTATTTCCCTTATTGCCCATCTAGAGAATAAATGTATCTCTAGTTCATTTATTTCATTTTTAAGTTCTAAAGTTGGAAGAATTTTTCCCAGATATATTTGCATTTCTGTTTTAGTCCCTCAATAAACATTAAACTTGCAAGCAATGAATAAACGTTTCCCTTAAAAGTTAATTTTTAACTTACTATGTGTCTTAACTGCCACTCACCTCTGTGCCCAGCAGACACACGAAACTCCTGCAGAGCAGCATATGAGGAGCTGCTGACATGCTGTCTGACAAGTGGGCTTTGGTGATTCTGCTCTTGCAGCTCTGCAGCACTGACTGTGGATTCTGTGGGAAAGTTCTGGTGTGGCCGTGTGACATGAGCCACTGGCTCAATATGAAGATTATTCTGGAGGAACTCACAGAGAGAGGACATGAGGTGACAGTGTTGACACCTGAACATACTCAGCTCATTGATTACAAGAAGCCTTCCCGACTGAACTTTGAGATATTTTATTCACCACATGACAAAGAACTAATTGAGACTGTAAATGTTAAATTTATGGATCTAGTTCTTAATGTCTTACCACTCTGGCAATCAGTGATAAAAATGAACAATTTCTTTGTTGAAATAAATCAAATTTTAAAATCCATGTGTGAGAGTACAGTCTACAATCAGACGCTCATGAGGAAGCTGCAGGAAACCAACTACGATGTAATGGTTATAGACCCTGTGATGCCCTGTGGAGAGCTGGTGGCTGAATTGCTTGCAGTCCCTTCTGTGTTCACTTTAAGAGCCTCTTTAGCCGGCATAAAGGAGAAACACTGTGGGAAACTTCCAGCTCCACTTTCCTATGTACCTGTTCAGATGGTGGGACTAACAGACCGAATGACCTTTCTGGAAAGAGTAAAAAATGCAATGCTTTCAGTTTTCTTTGACTTCTGGGACCAATATTCTGACATTCGTTTTTGGGACCAGGTTTTTACTGAGGCATTAGGTAAGAGACCCTACTTTGCATTTTAAGCTTGTCATCAAAAGAAATTTAAGATTTAAGTGAAATTTTTGTAAATGAATGGAGTACATTTTAAAATATTTGTTTTCCATTTAAACTCCATATGCAACAGCAATGTACCGGTTATCGAAAACTAAGTGTAAATGGGGACAAGAAATCTGTTGCCATGGTTACTGTTTCTTTACAGTCATTAAACCACTTCTCATAAGATAGCTTGATAACTGTTAAGTTCATGCAAAACAATACAGAACACAAACAAGATGTTAATCCTCTGGAAGATGGATTGTATGTCATATCTGGATATTACATATAAGTTTAGTACACTGAATTTCTATATTAGAGGATTCATAGCTATTTTTGGTAAAGAGAGAATAATGTTTATTCTAAGAGTAAGATAAGCTATTTGCTTGACATCAACAATGCACTGAAATATGATCATTATTAGCAAAGACTGTATTTAATTCATCTAAATCTGCTCCAACAATTTTTGGTAATTAGTGATGATTACAGTGAATCTTATACCATTTCTCATGGAACAGGATGCCTACCATTCTTATCCCTCTCATAAACTTCAGAAAATCCTATTTGGACTGGTTCATCATGGCTGGTCATAGAAATAGTCCAAGGATGCTTTATACTTCTTGGGAGAGTGCTACACAAAAACCTGAAAGGGGAATTAAAAATCTCAAAAAGACATGTGTCTTGAGCAGTAACAGAGAGTTGATTTTTTGTTTTTACTTCACTGATATACACTTATTCTACTTATTATTATTATTATTTTTTAAAGATTTTTATTGGAGAATTGGGGGGATGGGAACAGTGCTGGGGAATTGGGGGAAGGGGAACAGACAAGTTGCTGTCGTTTTGTTCTTCAGTCTAGTTGTGGAGGGC